TCTACACATGCGAGTTGTTGATGCGTCTCTGCAGACCTGATCTTGACTCGTACGACTGCGTCGAGATCGGGGATTGTGTATGCGATGCCTGTGTGGTGTTAGGGGGGTTGGGCAGCAACTTTGGACGTTTCTTACCTGGGATGACGCTCATGATGTCCTGGCTAATGTCGATGTTGGATTTGATAGTCAGCGGTCCGGCGTTCATTGGGCACATGCCCTCGAGCTCCTTCTGACCGCAGGGGTCGAGCTTCTCGTTCATGGCGGAGTATCCGTAGACGAGCAGTTCGATGTCGGCCTCAATCTTGCCGGCAATGTTGGAGATACCCTCGATCTTGAAGCCCAGACTGCGGTTGCTGGGGGTGAATGCGACGTTGAAGAGGGTGGCGGAGAAGCTGGAGTTGGACATGCACGGGTTGAGCGACTTGGATTCGATGATGCGCTCGCCCGAGACGACGGGCGCCGCGATGGCTGCGAGCCATAACAGCGACTTGGAGAGGGAGAACTTCATGGTGGGCGGTGTTGTTGTGGTGTATTAGGTGCGCGGAGCGAGGTGCCTCAAGGCGCGGGCGTACTCCTTACGAGTACTGCGGAGGGAGGTCGGCCAAACCAGCGGCGCGAGGGAGTCCGTCAGTCACAGTGAATGGGGTTCGTTTGCGTCCTGGAGGGGTGAAGAGAAGCGGTGGGTGCGGGTGAAGGTGCGGGTGAGCGAGTGGCAGTCGGGAGCGACGAATGGGCGGTGATGTCGAAAGAGGTGGTTGCGCAGGACAACTGGGGAAGGGAAACCGGGAAGCAGCGAGGCGAAGAGGCCTGTCTGTCGGCGGCTGGGCGACGCTAGGGCTAGTACAAGGAAGGGGATATGTGTAAACGACCGGACGGGCGCGATCAGCACTTGCACGCAACCCAATAAAAACGATTCAGCGCGCTCTCGTCGTCACCTAACGCTGGTGTTTGGAAAGTGCCTGAGGAGAGCAGGAGATGGGGCGGATGGTAAGAGGATGCCAGCTCGCAGGAGCTGAGGTCTATGCACCGCGTGCCGGCTGCTTCAGGGGAGCGAGACTGCGACGGTCGCGGCGAGTGGGCCAGATGAATACGCGCGGCACCTGCTCAGCGCCCAGCCTCAGAGGATCCAACGGCTGTCAAGTTTGCGATCGCAGGGAATAGTCGGAGCATTTACTGACTGCGCGGTGCTCTACTGCTCTGAGTTCGTCGACACTTGCTTCTCTGCCAGACGCCTTTGTCTTCGCAGGCTCCAGAACGCGCGCCTTCTTCTTTGACCAAGCTGGAACACTCGGATGAGGCAGGGGCGAGGGGGCAGGGGCACTTGCTTCGCCACACTCGCACGCAGGAACAATCTCGTCGGGCCAATCAACACGACGCTCTAGGCCTCTTCTCGCGCTGACTGAAAGTCTGCCAGCCAGGTCCGCCCAGCTCTTCGTATTTCCTCTAATTTTATTGCCGTATACGCGCGAAACCGACATTTCACTCTTCCAGCCCATCCCCGGCCGCTGCACATTGCCGCTCCCTGAAGGATGTCAATATTATGCCATCCGGAATCCTGCGGCACACCAAGTCTGGACTGTCTGGCCAGCGACCCCATCCGTGCTCTCGGCACCAGCGGATGGCTGCACGCAAATAGACCACACCCAGCCTCTCCAGCCAATCATGCCAATCATGCCGCATCTGACTGTGGCGCACTTGGCCAGCGAGGTCAATGAGCCGTCGACTCGCTGCAAGCGGCGCCATCTTCACCACATCGAGATGGACAAGACTGCACTTCAGCGTAGTCTGCCTGCTGTTTCTGGGCGCTGGACACTACGGCATCTCCATCCGCAGCTTGCGTAATGCCCTCACGTGGCATCAGTGTAAACATCATTGTTTCCACCACCATATCGGCCCTCCGTGGACTGAAAGTGTTTACCCAGCCACCGCTCACCACTGTACCACCGGACGATCATCATTCAAGCCATGGGACAGACGTCATGAGCCCACTTGCGCAACGCGTGTCTGCGAACGATCAACGAACGTCTCACCCACATCTGAAACACGCGATCTGCCCATCTACCTCAGAGATTTCCGGCCCGCTCACATCTATCGATACACTTTGCGCAGCCTCATCTTCCAACCTTTCGCACTGGGCTGACCCTGAAGATCGTCATCTTCCCTATGCGCGCCTAGCGGTGGAGCTGCCCCACCAGCCTTGGAACAAGTGGGCGCGAACGCGTAACCGCACGTTTGACCAACATCAACAAACTTGCATCAACCATCTTACTGCCGTTCTTTGTGGTCTTTTGTTTGACGGAAACTCATCAACATTGCGGATGCTCGTAGAAGATACTCAAGTTCTCCAGCTTCATTCACCAGTAGACATGAAGCTGCCTGACGTGACTAGCAACGCGCTGCACCAAAGGTCTGTGGATTTCCTTCTCTTCTCTCTTTCATTCTGTGTGTCGGAGTCTGCAATTCGTCTCTAGACCTGACTGTGGCCGATGGACGTCTTCTTCGAAAACCCCGTTTCTCAGATCTGGGGTTTCCACTAGCTGCACAACACCCGACTAAAAGCTTGCATCATGCCCCGCATGCGGCACGGCTTTTGTAACGCTGATGCCTAGTACATCCGCCTCCTCTATACAAATATCGGTGATGACAACTTTGGACGTTTTGCAGGTGCTTGTATATCCCGTCACTACACTGCCCATTCAGGAGCCCATAGCTCAACATGTCTGCAAAACCTCCATTCCCTATCTTTAATCCAGGTATTCCATTCGAAGGTCCGACGTTTCACCCCTTCTCACTACTTCCAACTACTTCCAAAACAACTACGACTATTGATATGGCGATCCGCCATCCGGCGTCAGCGCATCATTAAAGTCGAGATCTCCAGTCCCTGGCTAGCAGACCCTTCAACCTGCCTGGAGCGTGTAGGAGATGCGTTTCGTGGCAACGCCAGAATACTTGCAGAGTGCGGAAGCAGGCACCTCGTTACGCTTCACGGGCACCAGATCCTGAGCAAATACTTTCGTGTTTGTCAAGATTCTCGACGGGAAGCTTTCCTATTTTACCGCGAAGTTCGAAGCGCAAGACCATGTTATGGATGTGCTGCCCGCTTTTGGGTTTTGGTTGTTCCCGTTGGAGGCAATGAAGATGATGGTGAATGAGAGTGATAAATCTGATAGATGTGTTTTCGATATGAGTATGGTGATACCGGGGCTTGGGGTATCTGTTATGCACGGCCGTTAGCGCACTGCTATGACTTGCTCATGGGTACGTTGTAACGTTGCGGATCCTCGTCTGATCAAGGCCGGAAAAGACTCGATCTGAAAGGAGCACCAAGGAGAAACTTGGCAGTTCAGATAGCATATCAAAGGTATTCTAGTCGACAACCTTCTTCTACTTGCGGGGTCGGGATGACGGAAACGCAGTGTTTGTTTGCTCCTCCGTCCGCGGCGGTGTGTAGGCGTTTGAAGGTATGCAAGCTCCCGCCCTTCACTTCCTATTTTCCCCATCGGCGAGCAAACGGATCTGCGCACGTGCGCTGAATACCGACTATTCTTAATAATCGTACTTTGGATACATTGCCCTCTCGTACTATCAAGCATCCAAGTCCAAGATGTCGCACGCTATCACTGCCTTCGAGCACAAGACTGATGGCCCTGACAATCACAACCAAGCCAAACTTCAACTACTGCTAAAGAACAAGCTTCAAGGCGTACCGCCTAACCACCTCCCCACAGTCACACTAGCGGACATCCTCGACCAAACTCCACGAGCGCTAGATATCGCCAACATACCACCAGATATCCAACTCCCGTTTTTCCTCCACAACCGCGCCGCCATCGACCGCTACGCGAGCAAGCCCATCAAAGATGGAGAAAAACAAAGTATGGAAATCACTCGAGCGATCTGGTTCTACCGACTCGACCAAACGCACCATTTCCAACGCTTCCACGACATCATGAGGTGGAACACCGCGATCTTCGTTGCGCTGTTAGCTCAACACTCGCAGTCAAGCGAACAGAAGAGCTCTGCACACAGCGAAGCAGGAGTACTCGATCGTCGTCGTGGAACCATGGACTCCTACCGCCCCGGACGGGTTACCACTCCCACACACGCAGCCATCCCTCCTGCCGCCATCCGTTTCATAAAGCAATACCTCGCCGCCGTCATCGAGCACCACAACACACCCACCTCCAGCTTCGCTGCACGCGAGTCGTTCATCTTGAACTGGAAGACAGGACCATGGGAGTTATTCACCGTGTTTGGTGGTGCGCAGAAGAAGCTGCTCAAGAACGCTATGAAGAAGCTGAGCAAAGAGTGGGAGACTGAGTTGCGTGTTGCAGAGTCACAGTTGGGTAGGGAGCGGTACGAGAGGAAGGCTGGCAAGTTTGTGGGTGGGGTTGTGCCTGGGAAGAGGGAGATGGGTGTGCGTGCTGAGGAGGTGAAGAGGGAGGATGGGAATGTCGATATGGCAAACGTGGTGTTGTCTGGGCGGGGAGAAGGCGAAGGAAATAGTGGTAATGCGCTGTTGCAGGCCCTTCTGGCTCCGTACGTACCGCGGACCAATGAGACTAGGGTGCAGGATGGAAAGGGGGTCAAGAGTGGTGCAACTGAGGTCGAAGGAACACTGGTCACGGATGTGAGAAGTGCTATTGCGGCTTTGCAGAATATGCAGCCGAGGGATATTCTACCGGTGCTTATCCGCTTGTTCCCAGCATAGATGGACGTCTTGCGTTCACTAGGGTTGTTAGATACCCGTGGCTAGAAATTCATGAGTCTGGATAGAAGGCTGTAGAGGCCTTGGCATCTTACGTTGAACCTTCGGGGCATAAGATACATGTAGGAATCATCGCGAACCACAATGCCTCGAAACCTTCACAATAGTACAAATGGGGGCATAATATATGTTCAAACAAATGAGATTCGTAAGTCTATCATCGGTATCTACTAGTCATACACCGCTCATTAACCTTTCCATTACCTTCTTTCCATCCAAAGCCATCCATCTACTGGGGCTTGAGTACACCACGGTACCTCATCTTTCCATCCCTGAGGGTGGCCATTGCCTCCTCGATACCACTCTCAGTAAGCGGGAACTCCATGGTGATAGGCTTAATACCGTGTAGAGCGGAGAAAGCCAACATGCTGCGGTGAACAGCGCGGGCGGCAACAACAGAGCCCTGAACAGTGATACCCTTGGCGATAAGAGCCATGTGGTTGATAGCAAAGTCGTCATCGGAAACGGTCATGGGGAAGATGATGGCGTTGTTGTTGAGAACAGGGAGCATGAGCTTCCAGTCGGGCATGACGGAAGTGGTGACAAGGAGAGCGTCAACAGGGCGGCTGACGCTGATCTCAGACTTGCCCTTCATGGCGATGAACTCCTTTGCGCCGAGCTTCATGGCCTCGTCCTTCTTGCTCTCGGATCCGGAGAAGACAACGACATCGCAGCCCATCTTGGCGGCGTACTGGATGGCCAAGTGGCCGAGACCGCCAACACCCATGACACCGACGCGGTCGGTGGGCTTGACGTTGTAGGTGTGCAGGGCGTTGAAGACGGTAGCTCCACCGCACATCAGGGGTGCGGCTTCGGCGTCGGTGAGCTCATCGGGAACCTTGAAGACGAAGGCCTCGCGTTGGACGGAGTGGGAAGCAAAGCTGCCCTGGTCGAGGTTGGCCATGCCGTACATTTGGCGCTCGCTGCAGTAGGTTTCCTGGCCTGTGAGGCACTTGTCGCAGCGGCCGCAGGAGTTATGCTCGTAACCCCATCCGACGCGGTCGCCCTTCTTCAGGTCCTGCACGTTGGGTCCAAGCTCTTCGACAACACCGACACCCTCGTGGCCGAGGGCCATGTCGGCTCCCTTGTAGTGCTCATCGGTTCCGCAGAGACCGGAGGCGGTTACTTTGATGAGAACCTGGTCGTTCTCGAGGTCGGGCTTGGTGGTTTGCGACTTGACAATCTTGCTCTCCTTGGAGCCCTTGTAGACGGTGAAAGAAGGCATCTTGGTGATGGTGTTTTGTGATGTAGTATACGTTGAAAGGTGATGTAATGGAAAAACTTTTGGGTATCTTGTTGCAAAAGAGATGAAAGTTGATGTGAAGTTGATTGATATGTTCACAAAGACTACCGTGACTTACTGTTATATATGATTCGAGCCAACCTACAGCTCATTCTTACATGTGCCATGAATGTCGCTGGAGCTACGTTCGAAAACTTCTCCCCCATGACGTCGCGTATTGATAATGCACAGGGTCTTTGGGTCCAGGGTCTGGATATCGCCGTGCCTTACACATTGGGTGCGTCGACCGCCACTAGAAAACGTGGTTTTGTGGGTCGCATCTCCAGCATGACAATTTCGAGATCTGCCGATTCCGGTATAGTGCGCTTCCTCATGCTGCATCTTCGAGGTGTTGTCAGCTGTGATGCAGCTGATTAATGTAGGCTATATCGTCGCGATTACGCGTTGTCGGCACAGCATGCAGCCTATACCTGCACATTGTAAAAGAAATATTGAGCTGCGAAATCCAGAGGACGCCTCGGACAGCATCGGCCAACCATCCCACCGCTGTTGCAGGACTGCCGAAATGTCCGCAATAGTGAGACGTGCGTCTGGAACGTGTCGGAATGATATGGATTTCCATGTGCCAGACGCCGCTTGTGTGGAGCAAAAGACGTTGTTCCTGACCCCAATGCGGATGCGGCTCTGCTCGAGGAGTCCATGACGTAGGTGGTGCCGGGGCGCCCGTCCGATGATTGCGCTACATCACCGAACTGTTCGGCCCTTTCAATGACCTGATTCTCAGAGGCTGGCGCGAGTCTTGTCCGATCGTAATGCGCATTACAGATCTTTCGTTTAGCGGCTACTTGTTGCCGAGTCCGTGGGGATGGAAGTGTGGCGTTTGTTGGGGCCCATGTGCAGCGGCCTGGAGTTACGCCTTTGGGGCAATGGGGACGATGCCACCAAATGCTTACCCAACCCCGAAACTTTCGGATCGCAAGTCGGAGTGGTGATAAGAGATGAACTGCGATACGGATTCTTGGCGTCGGTCCTGAATTTCATGCAGTCTGAGCGTAGAAGTCACCTTGCGGCAAATCCCCAGCTGCAGACTCGAACAAGAGGGTGTGGAAAGCGTTAGCTCTCGCAGCTGTAGAATCAAACTCGATCTCTGGCATACTCACCTACAGTCATACAGAACTAGCTTTCGTTCTCGGAGCCGCTTCAATGGTAGCAAACAAGTTGTTTTCAGGGTTCAAGCTATGTGAGCGGCCAGAATTTAATAAAGACACGAGAAAGTACCATGATGGATGCGAAGGGAGAAGGTAGTTCCGTGCGTCATCACCGACATGAACGCAAACCCTTGCAACTCTTTCAGCAACGCTGAAACCCAAGGTCTGGTGTTGCGACAAACTCTGAACGCTGTGTAACTGAATTTAGATCAGTATGCTTTGGTAGACGGACCAACGTAGTCGCCCAACAAACATCATACTGAACCGGAGATCGTTCCGTTATCAGGGCATCCGCAAGATTGCCTTGATCCCATGATGATATCCATCAACGAATTTATCACCACGCTGGGAGTTCTTTATCACGCGCAAGACGCGAAAGATTTGAAAACCATTCACGAGAAGCCCAGGAGTTTAAATGTCTGGTATCATTACGTGTTGAACTAATGATAACCCAGGCTCATTCTATCCGACTAACATACCAGCAAACAATAGCTAGCAACGACGCCAAAAGCCTTCAAAACGCCCTTCGAACCTACCAACTACCCCCAAGAACCCACACCCCGCCTCTCTAACAAACAATCTTATACCCCCTCTTAAACACCGGCACAGGATCACACGTGGGCGGCTCACTAAGCACATACGGCGCACCGGCCTCTTCCGAACAATCCACCGAGTCGAAGAGTTGCACTACACACCTCATCAGCCACCACAGTCATCATGCTGGGACAAAAGTTTACTTACACTCGCAGCCCCGAAGAGCGATGCGTAGGACCTGCAGACTTGCCTGATTTGGCTCAAGCGGATAACACTCATCAGACACAATGTTGTCGTGCGGAAAGGAGAGACAGGGGTTGTTGGCAGCGCATTCAGAGCACGACCATGATGTGAAGGAGCCGGCGTTGGGGATGGGGTTGGGGACGGGGCTGCGGCGGGTAGGTGTGAGGGGGGAGGCGAGGGTTGTCGTTGCGAGTGCGAAAGTGATGGTGAGGAAATGCATGATTGAAAATGTAGATGAGTTCAAAATGTTCGCGATGATTGTGTTGAAAGTGATGGAACTGTAGAGGGGTTATCTGGAGTGGCTTTATATGTGCTTTCTCGCAATAGATATGGGAACAGCGAGACAACAGACAGCCAGCTTCGACCATCGACGTCTTGGTATCTCCAGGTCATATCCATGTGACTTGAGTATACGACCAATGTCTTCTTCATGTTCCCTGACGACTTCCTCTCACCTAATCCTTGGGTTCTAGTAGAAGGAACTTGGCAGAGACATTCTTTTCATATATTGCTCGGTCAAATTTCCTCATAGTAAGCACTTGCTTCATATGGAAGTAGCACATCATACAAGCAAAATTCTCCGATCATTTGTTCTACCTGCTCACATCACATAACGCCTTAGCGATGGTCACGTTTCGCACAAGAATGACAATAGTAGCGATCTGATATATTTCAATATAGCTTAGTTCGCACCGTGTGTTGAACACGGCCAACGAGCTAGACTAGATCTAACAAGTCGGATCGAAATGATATTGTAATGACTGTCGTCTGAGTACATCCTCTCAGCTAAGTAATGTGCTGTTGCCAGCTCCTCTCCATCTAATTACCAAGTCGTCACTCGGTCTCCATAGAAGCGTAAGCGGGATGACCCGCTTAAGAGCAGATAGCCTGGTAAGAAAACTTCTGCGATACATTGATGCAGTCGCTGGGAGCTGTGGTGAAGGTGTCGGTTGGTACACCAGTGCAATCGTTGGAGGTGTAGAACTCGACTATTCCCATTAGATCACGATCGTTCACAATAAACGTTGTCGCGACTCACGGCGGCAGTTGGCACGAGTCTTCTCCAAGAAGAAGACGCGGGCGCTCTGCAAGGGCAGGAATACACATTCGTTGCTGTGGATGTTCTGCTGCTGTAGGGCCTGGGGTGCGCAGTCGGAGTTGGCGTAGGCCTCGACTGAGGGGTGGATGTTAGTGGGAACGGCATTCTGCGTAGAGGTGGAAGTGACGTACAAGAGGCAACGTTCTCAAGCGAGATCTGAGCGACGGCGACTGAGGCCATGATGGCGGCGACGATGGTGGAGGTGAACTGCATCTTGAAGATTTGGGCTTTTGGTGGAGCTAAAAGATATTGAATGTAGTATACTGTAGAAGATGCTGTCGTGGTTGTCTTTTTAAATACATCCTTTCTTGGAGGTTTTATACCTTGATTTCTGAGCGCTTTGGGTTTCCTCCGTCATCTCCTCTCGCTCGAGGCGTTTGTTGGAGCTCATCGTGGCTTGTTGCGGTGAACAGAATACGAATGTGATTCATCATCATGTCTGATGGGCTTGCCATGCAAGTGACCGGACACAGGCAGATATATGCCTCACGGCAGGACAGTGTGCGAAGGACTGGAGATTTGGGGCAGTATGAGGAAGTTTGCTCGTACACCTGACGCCGTGGCTTCGATTTTGTAAGCACGAAGCTGACCAGTGTGATCACTGAGTATGGCGATGTGGAGTCTGCTAGCCGAGAACTTTACTAGGACACAAGTCAATAGGAGCGATTCGTGTCGATGTGACTGTTGCTCAGTGGCTTACGGGCCGCTGCTGCAAGAGGTCGGTCCGCGGGGCAATCATTCTCTTGAGAGGATGCGTCAGTTGTAGGTGGCTGAGCGGCGCCATGTGTGAGACATGAGCTCAGCATTGAGTGAACTCCCTCCACACCTCATCTCGGTATTGAGCGAACAGATGCGCGCAAAATTTATTCGTCATCTTCTCCCTTCTTTGGAACAACTGTGAGATGGCGGCCTCGTGTACAGTCTACAATAGCTCGTGCGCGTGGCGGGAACTCTCAACGCGGGTAGTCAACCACGTGATGTGTGATGTCTTCGGAAACGTTAAGCGCATGTGTGCATTGATGCAATGCAGCCGGTAAGAAAATGTGCACGGATATCATGTGTTGGTGCAGAGAGGCCACCAGATGTGCACCAATGGGACGGAAGGACCCGGCTGACAGGCCTGGCCAAAAGGCTTGTGCAAACGACTGTTGGATTCGTATCCTGAAGCGAGAGAGCATAAGCAAAGGTGCGTGCTCGATCTCAGCGTGACCCTAGTCTTGAGGCCTCCAAGAACTCAGATCTACATTCGGAAAGTCTCTGAAGAGCACAAATCCCCTCCTACGCCTTGGCAGTCCCGCGCTGTATCCCAATCATCTCTTTCGTAACTTTTCCTGGTACGTGTGTATCATCATCGTCTAAATAAAGAAAGATCATCCGTGTTGCCGTAGCAAAGCGACCATTGACAACTATTGAGTAGCTGCTCAGTTGTAATCGTGCATGTTGTGTAAGCTGATGTCCTGGCTGCTGGTAACGCGTCGCTCTTCCCCGTTACCGTTAGCGAGCGCATCACTCGCGGACGTCTGGCTGACACCGTTGGCCGGGTGCCAATCGGGTTGCCCATTGCCATCCGATGGGATGACGTTGCCATGTTGGTCAACCTCCTGTTGCAATACGCATTAGTCACAGGGAGTCTTGCCAAACGATGTTTTCAATTCTCAACTTACAACGCCCTTGGCAGCCATGCGCACCTGTTGAGGATTGGCCGTACCATGTACGACAGCCTCTCGTGCCTTCTCCATGACCTTTTGTTTGCGGCTCTCTCCGCGGATTCTCTCGAGATGCTCGAAATAGCCAGCGTCGACCGGGGTGACATATTTGCCGCAGAAGACACCGACTTCGAACTTTTGTGTTGCGGGATCTCGCGGGGAGAGACGTGCGCAAGCGCTCTGTAGATCCTCAAGATTCTGGTATACGACATCGTCCGCGCCGATGTGCTTAGCAATGGCTGCTGAGTCGCGGTGGTGAGCGATCAGCTCCGAGGAAGAGGCCAGATCAATACCGTAGATGTGGGCATTGGTGATTGGCGGTGCACACGAGGTAAAGTAGACCTTCTTGGCACCCGCTTCCCGCGCCATCAGGACAATCTCACGCGACGTAGTACCCCGAACGATGGAGTCATCAACCAGCAGCACGTTCTTGCCTTCAAACTTCTTCTTCATAGGATTCAGCTTGGCCCGGACGCCCTTCTGTCGTAGTTGTTGCGATGGCATGATGAATGTGCGGAAGATGTAGCGGTTCTTGACGAAACCTTGTACGTATGGCTTTTCGAGAGCCTCAGCAACGCATAACGCAGAAGTAATCGAAGTCTCAGGAATCGGCATAACCACGTCGATCTCAGCCATGGTCTTGGGACCAAGCTGCTTCTTGATGGTCTCGGCGAGAGTGAAGCCCATGTTACGTCGGCTCTCATCCACGTCGATGCCGTCAATGACAGAGTCAGGTCGCGCGAAGTAGACGTATTCGAAGATATCCGGGGTATACGCTTCTTGCTTGGCGACTTGCCTGAAGACGGGCTCCTTGCCCTTCTCGATGATGACAGCTTGGCCGGGGAGGATATCGAAGAAGTCCTTGTAGCCGCACTGGACCAGCGCAACGCTCTCTGAGGCCATCATGTAATCCATGCTCTTGCCGTCCTGCGACTTGCGGGAGCCGAGCACCATGGGACGAATACCGTACGGGTCGCGGAAACCGATGAGGCCGAATCCTGAGACAATGTTAGTATCTACACGATCACAGCGTAGCAGATATCATTGGATATTGACATACCCGCAAGCATGGCCGTGCAGGCCCATCCACCAGTGCAAAGCTTGTACATCCTCTCCAGCGCCGCAAAGCAGTCGTCGGCGTTAATACGCGCCTTGCCCGTCTCGTTGAGCTCGTCGGCGAAGATGTTGAGCATGAGCTCACTGTCGCTCTCGGTGTTGATGTGCCTGTGGGCCTCGTGATCGAGTCGCTGGCGTAGTGCCGGCGCGTTGATGAGGTTGCCATTGTGAGTCATGCAGATACCGTAGGGGCTGTTGACGTAGAAGGGCTGAGCCTCAGCGTTCGCGCTGCTGCCAGCGGTAGGGTATCGCAGGTGCCCGAGGCCCATGAAGCCGGGGAGGTCGGACACGCGTGCGCCGTCCTGGAAGACGCGCGACGCCATACCGTTACCCTTGCACTGGTGGAAGCGACCACCAGCACTGCAACTGACTATTCCGGCAGCATCCTGGCCGCGATGTTGGAGGAGGTAGAGGGCATCGTGCACCTCGACCGAAGCCGATTGCGACTTGGGATCGCCGTGGATCACAGCAATGATACCGCACATTTTGACGTGATGGCGGGGTGTGGGGAGGCTTGGAGTAAAAACTCAGGTTTATATACTACCAAGGCGCGTCAGTTGCGGTAAGAATTCGGAAGACGCGGGATATGTAAGTGGGGTAGTCTCTCAGGAAGTCGTTGTGCGCTCAAGGGGTATCGCAAGTCTAACATCTTTATAATATGACAAAATCATCATCGGGACATTGAATAGGCGGCAGGTAAGAGAACAAGTGACGACATACGTAGCCTGGGGGTGTTCCTGAAGATTTCGGCAGGTCTCTCCAAAAATGGGGTATCCTGGTGGAAGAATAATGCTATGGCCGTTGGGCGCTAGATGCAGCAGCAGTCCATCTACTCTCAACTCGAGTTCTCAGTGTGGGCGGCGGCGGCGTCTTCGTAGCGGCGTGGCGGGAGTGTTGTCCCAGCTGGTGATGGCGTTTGGGCTCATGGTTATTGGAAAGTAAGAGCGCTCTAGTGGGGAAGGGGCAGCATGATAAACAATTTTTTTCCTCGCCGCACCTGCACTTCCGCCCTTTGGGGCTTGGCGGCCCTTCGAAGCCGAGGGAGCTGCCCCACATGTTGCAACCCAGAACCGACATCGCAACGCGACATCGCGATGACTCCGACAAAGGAACGCGAGACAGGCGCGTTACCACCGCTGACAACCATTCGAGTACGCGCTTTCGTTCGTTTCGCGCCCTGGACCATCATCCGACGCGTTCTCACCCCTTATGTACGAAAGATCGAATGTCTCCACCTCCTCACGTCGTCCATGGCGGTCCTAGGTACGCTCCCAAGGTTGATGAACGCCATTCCACATGCGAACAGAGCGCGTCGCTGTATGTACCGGAACGCATCAGTCGATATTTGGTGGCCCACTGTGCCATGGGGCCTGTGAACGCCAACGATGGCGCAACCTTGTAGTCGTCATCCACGGCCGACCTCTCGCATTTTGTCACCGGGCTTCTCGGGCCATCTCCCTCGCAGTTTCTTGAGTACATTCGAGGGCTGACGTAAGTGAATTTGTTCCTTGTCGATGCAGGATTCCGGAAGAGCCCCAAATGGACGGAATAGGCCGACGCTCACATGGGAGCGCACAGTCAGGGTGTGCTTGTGCTGACTCTCGAAGGGTTATCGTCCAAAGCCTCTTCAAAGGTTCTTTGTGTTACCAGTACCACATCCCCGGTCTCCGCCACGCTGCACGAGCGGCTACACCCCGTGTCCAATTCCGAACGGTGCCCACCCTGCACGACATCCATCGCCGAAGCGCGTCGGCACTGTTATCATACTCGCAAACGAAGCAGCCAGAGGACGAACAACTCATATGTCTCGGAATTTTATCTTCTGCAGATCGGCAGCTACTATCTCTTACGCGACAGACCGACTCCAAACGACGCTAGAATACGTCTCTGCTCCGTCCACGCCTACCCCGGTCTTTCACACCAACAATCTCCCACAGCCACGATGCGGGTAGTCAAAAACGGATCATGTTGTTGGCTTGCTAGCATGGCACTGTATCTTCACTAGCGTGACCCCGGTTACAGCTGGCCACCGAGACTACGGTTGGTGGTGTCCATTCGCCCAATCGATACTGATCCATTGTAGACGAGAGCATCAGAAGTCGACGTTGACGATCTATCGAACCTGCTCAGTCTGAGCATTAATGTACCTGCACCATCGTTCCCGGAGAGCATCGTTCCGCTGTTTCAACGTCAAGCACAACAGAGGGTCAAGTTTATGTGCTTAAGTTGCAACACGTTCTACAGCAGTCTTCGCGCATAGGGTTCGTTCAGGAGACGCAAACACGTGAATATGGGCACATACGTGTCGCGTATTATACGTGAGCCGGTGGATCTCGCACTAAGACTATTGCCAGATGCCCGGAGAAGTGCAGCCCGTGAGCCCCGATTGACACAGCTGCGTTGACGCCGGCTTCATGCGGAAAGGACTGATTTACACGACATATCCGAGGAACACAAGCATTGGCAACCTTGTGCAATTGTCAACTCAGTGCAGCCCAAAACGTTCGACTTGTTGTCGATAGATCATTTGCTAAGTTTCAGCGCAAAGCGCAAAGGCTCACGTTACGCTCGTCTTATTTGACTTGTCCCCACTATACACTTAGGCGGTCTTCAGATTGGCAGCTGTCCTACAAGAGAGTGTATTACCAGTCTCGGCATATCAGCACTTCTGAATTTGACGAGAATGGTATCAAAGGTACCAGCAGGACGATACTCAATTTCCACGATGGTTGTTCGATTTCTAGATGTGGAAACCCCACCACGTGAAAGCTGCTGATCAGTACCGCATCAGTAGCATGCAGGATCGGCTGCTTGCCGCTGCCTCCAATTGCCTCAGCCCGATTAGCTCTCGCGTATGCATAGCTACTTCCCTGAAATAATACGCGGGGTCCCCACATGTAGTCGCAGATCCAGCCCAACCAGGACCGTGCAGACTTAATACTACACGTTCCGCATGGACTAGGTGGCGATGCTGTTCACTAACCGATGTTCCGGGATCTTTGTTAGGTGCTGGACAAGTATACCGACAGCAAGCCACCTCTTCTACTAAGATCCAGCTCAGCCAGGGATCTCCAATCGCAGCCTGCATGTACTACAAAAGTATACACTACGGGCTAATGCCCCCGACGCATGCAAACGCATGGATGTAACCCGTATACCCATCGGCTAAGAGGGGCCCAGAGAGTGACGATAGACTTGTCAAATGTGGCTTCTTTATCATATGCGTCAGCGTCGCGGTATAAAGGGTCAAAAGCCACGCCAAAGCTCACATATCACCTCGGCATTATTTCCATTCGACAAGTGTGCGATTGCAGCTTTCTGTCGTCTGTCGTCATAGACTCTTCATAGTTCTTGCCTGCACATATCTTTATGACGGTGGGGTCCGGCGAATCTGGCAGGATGACGACCCTCAACGAGGAGTGCTTTCCAAACATGTCGGCTGGCACTGACATCACCGCGTCATCAGAATCGATTAAGGTGAGCAACTACCACCGCGACAAAAAACCTTTCAAATTAACTATTCAAGTCCTTCACAGGAGCCAAGATGGCCTCGAATGGAAAGACCAGTGCTCCGACCCACGTACTGGCGGCTTTCATCGCCCTCAGTCTATCGATCTTTCTAGTAGCACTCGACACTGTGCTCATCCCAACCGCTTTGCCCACGATCTCCCAGTCCTTCCACATCCCAGATTCCCTTTACGCCTGGATAGGATCATCCTACCTTCTCGCCAACGCTTCATCAGTCCCGTTCTGGGGGAAGCTCTCGGACATTTTTGGACGAAAGCCAGTAATCCTGGCAGCCAACGCCATTTTCCTTGGCGGCAGCATCTTGTGCGCCGTCAGTGTGAATGCCGTTATGCTCATTTTCGGTCGTGTCGTTCAGGGTCTCGGCGGCGGTGGGGTGGTGGTACTGGTTCACGTATGCGTCAGCGACCTCTTCACCATCCGGGATCGGTCCTTCTACATGGGTACTGTTGGTGCTGTATGGGCCGTCGCCTCTGCTCTGGGCCCGGTACTTGGCGGCGTCTTTGCACAACGTCTCCATTGGACGTGGTGCTTTTACATCAACATACCCATCATCTCGCTAGCGATCTTAGTGTTGTATCTTACGCTACACCTACACAACCCACGAACGCCCTTTAAAACAGGACTCGCGGCTATGGACTGGCTGGGGACGGTCACGATAATCACGGCTACTATACTTCTGCTAGTAGGCCTCCAAGTAGGTGGCATTAGCTCCTACTCGAACGCAGGAGTCATCACGTGCTTGCTGTTTGGATCACTCGCTTACGTCGCCTTCCCTTTCTCGCAACACTGGGTGGCACAACATGGCGGCAGCCCTATCATGCCACTGCGCATCTTCAAGGACATCAGCAACCTCAGCGCACTGGCCGTATGCGCATGCGACACTGTGGTCTTTACCTCGGTCGCTTACTTCCTACCCTTGTACTTCCAGATCGTGCTCGGGCTCCAACCAGAGATCACAGGCGTATGTATGCTCGCCGTCGCGATACCTTTGGCACTTGTTTCATTCGCTTCTGGTCATGTCATAGAGAAGACTGGGCGTTTCCTAGAAGTACTGCAAGTGGGTCTGTTTGTTATGACGCTCGGTGTCGGCCTTCTCATCTCGCTCGGCACCGCGCCAAGTCTTGGAACTATCGTCGCATTCATGGTCATTATCGGCCTGGGTTTCGGGCCCAACTTTGGCGCGCCGCTCATTGCTCTACAAACGCGCATACAAGAGGCGGATATCGCGGCCGGTACTGCGGCTTTTGGATTTTTACGTGCAATATTTGGTGCCATCGGTCTAGTTATCGGCCAAGTGGTATTCCAACTCCTCATGGCGCCACACTACGAGAAGATTGTTGACAGTGGCATCGTAGAAGATGTTGCTCTTAACCTCACTGGGGGCGAAGCGATATCTCAAAGCGCCGCTATCACTGGCCTCACTGAGTTCCAGAAGAGTATAGTCCGCTATAGCTTCATGAGCGCGCTGAGAGGGACCTGGATTCTCATGACGATTGTGGGTGCCATTGGACTTTTGATCTCGTTCGGTATCAAGAGGACGAAGTTGCGTCGAGAAAGGACGACTGAGCTTAAGGAGCTCGAAGTCACATCGAGCGACTGAGCATAGGGTAACAGCTCACATGTGTGCAACTAATGGCCCGCTCATTTATGCTCAATCATCCGACGCACATAGCGCAAGCGATTCAGTCATTTGACTCATGACTAGCTCTCCTAGTCCCATGTTTCGGGTGCAAAAAACCCATATTTAGTTCATTTGAGCGTCTTACATATATCATTGATGGATCTGCGCGATGCGGCCCCCCAACTACCGAAGCAGCCTCAAGCTCTACCTAAATACACTCGCTATATATCACACTTCATGTATTGCAAAACCTAGCCCGTGGTGTATCACCTCTGATCTCGTTTGCGCCGTGTACTTACTTCTTTCTTCTTGCTTCCCTATGCTTCCTCTGCAGCTTCGCCAACGCCTCATCACTCCATCCCGCGTCGCGATAAGTGAAGTAGTCACTTGGCAGGGTGGCAGGATTATTAGGATCTTGTGTAGGGTCGGGTAATGGTGCCACGAGAAGCGGTTGTGGTTGGGGCGGCTGTTCAGGCGGCTCTTGAGGGTGTGCGCCGTGGTCACTCTGAACAGGCATGGGCGGCGCGGGCATCCACCACGGCTGGGCTTGTGTCGCTGCTGGTGCTGGTCCTGGCATTGGTCCTTGCGGTATACATACTTGATCTGGGAGAGGGTAAGGTACTAACACACGCTGCCCTGTTGGTGTTACTATGACTTGGAAGACGGGTTGTCCGGGCTGCTGAGCTTGGTCTTGGCCGTTTCTTGGGGGCTGAGGTGGCTGGTTGGGAAACATGCTTGGTTGAGTTTGATACGTTAACGATGGTTAGATGAAGAAGACTATGGGCGGATGTAATGCATAAATTTATATGTATATATGATATGATGGAAAATAACCCGAGCGAAGCAGCGTCTATACGTTGTTCGATGTATAAGCTGTCGCGTGTGGGACGCGTCAAGGATGCGCTGTTGCACCGACAGCTATGCGGACAGCACGCGCATGATGTATGAGCAAGCTTGATGCGTTGAGGAACTCAACAGTAGCGCCTCACGTATCCCATGAGCTGTGATAGTTCTTTTGTGATATCGCTGTAGTCAATAAACGACGCACAAATGATTCGTTGGACGTTGCAGAATTGTTTGCATTCTTGAAAAGCCGAGAAAATTTTGCTGTGAACTTCCTCAAGCTCCTCTCGTAGGTGTCCGAAAAAGTGATGGCAGGCGTTATCTCAAGCTCAGTCCAAGCTTTCTCCTTTGTAGCCAGGAGAATAACAGTACTTCATCAAACGACGGGAAATCTTGCTGCCACCAGCTCGTGCTGTCCAGCACGTGTCGACAACCCCAATGCACCGAACCTTCCACTTCGCGACGCCAGTGTCGAAACAAGCCTTCAGCTTCACACCGGTCTTTTTCGAGAGCTCAGAGGCGAAGATAATCTTGTTAAGACAATGTAGGCGGTATTTATCAGGAGCTTTTTCCGTTTGGCCTGGTCTCATGATGAACTTGATCAGAATCTCATGCTGCGCATCATCTTCGTCTTCAGTGGTACTGGTGATAGTGTTCAATCCTTTGGGTACCGAGGTGATGTTGATGCCATCCAGGCCTATCAAGCTGATAACATTATCCTGTGACCAAGTGCGAAACGTTCTTGCCATATCCCGCATGATCTTCAGCTCATCGAAGTCATCCGGATCGGTGGGCATGATCAAGGCGTCTAGAGCTTCGCTTACAGTTGTTGGAGTCAGCTGAAGATGAAATCTTGAACTGGTTTCCCGAAGCTTCAACAAGGAGAGAATATCAACACCATGTTGAGGGAGTGGTGCGCTGCAGCAGATGGGCTCCACCCATCCTGCTACCTCGCCGTCTTTATCTGGTCGATGGAAGATGTTGACGTAGTCGTTGATGGTCTCAAGCGCGGTACGGACTCGACGCTTCTCTAGAAGCCAAGGGGTAAACTCATTCCGAATCTGGCGGCAGGTTTGAGTGAAGCCCCAATATGAATGCGCGAAGTTTGTCGGACAAGCTATGCCGCGAACAGAGCGCCGAGGTACGCCTTCGGGGTAGTGGCGAACGTTCAACATCTTCTTCTCTTCGTCGGTCATGGCGTATTGATATATCAAATTGCGGACTTCACCCGGTAGATCACTCCAGGGTGCATTCTGAGTACCTGGCCTCTTTGGTGGATATCGACGAGAATGTGAGCGCGGCACGTATTGGGTTTCCTCGTCGCTCTCATCGTCTTTCTCTTCCTCTGATACCCAACCAAGCCAAGGACCCAACCTATCAGCCTCTGCCCTGACTTTCTCCTCGAAGCTTGTCTTCCTTCGGTGGGCGCCTGTGGTTGTTGATTTGGTGATGCGCGCACCCTGTACACGAAGCTTTTCGCTCAAATTGACAGACTGAGCGGCATACCCTGAAGTTCGTAAATTACGAACGCGGTTGCGGCTGGACCTGGCCTTGGGCATTTCATTATCGGTAAGCTGAGCTATGGTATCCCTCCGAGATCGCTTCACGGGAGGTGTATTGTAGTCGGCAAGGTTTGCAAGCTCCGCAGCAATATTCGTGGGCTTCTTATGCCCGCGCGTTGGGTACGGAAGTTGTCTGTCATCACCGCGACTGCGCCTGGCACCCTTATCGTGATCGCTTTCATTCTGGGAAACTGCACCTGTCTCCTGAACGTCGCGACGACTGCGCTTTCTGGGCAACTGCGAAGGCGCGCAGTCCTTCTCGGCTTGGTGTTTGCGCTTTGAACCCATTAAGTTCGCTGTATGTAGGAGTTACCGGGGAATACTGATAATTAGAGGAATTCACTGCGTGATGTGAAAGGACGTGGGTGTATGCGTTGACACCAGGGTTGACACAGTTATAAGATCTGGTGGAGCGTTCTGTTAAGAATGGGTGCCTAGTGTCGAAGAACACTCAACCATGGCTTGAAGGGGAAACGCACGTGCGTTCACAACTCTTCCCTTCACTTGTATGGTTTAGCTCAGATTCCTGTTGTCGTCCATAGGAATGACTGATTGCACCAACTCGGTATAGTCGTCGTCGCGATGGGGGCCTGTATGATCCATAGCGATGTGTGTGCGGAGACCTGGCTTTCAGTGGTACCGAAACGCGATACCACCGCAGGCGAGTTTGCAGCCGATGACCCCTACGATACTGTTTCGTGTTAGCATCTTGAGGCTGATTTGCCTACGCAGTTTTTGTTATCATCCTGGATCAAGTTGCAATATCACAACGTGACAGTCGGTATCCGAACGATAAGAAGGCCACGACAGGGGTCCTCATAGCTGGATCGCGATCTTTGTGAAGAAGCAAACGTGTCGCAAGCTATCCGAGTTTCTTACAACCCGCTAGAGTGCATTCTCTCCTTGTTTTGTCGAGCCCCAGCCGATGCGATGAGGAGCTGATATAACGGTCGCGGTCAGGTTGTCGCGAACGCGGCGGCTCCAGCCCCTTCCCACCCGTGGACAACAACGGATGTCGTTCTGTGTGCGACCGCGCTTGCCAAACTATTGCACTCAGCAACAATAGAAATTCGTAAACGAGATCAAGAATATCTAGACGCGACGAAGATGTCCAAGACATGCTCAGCTTGGGATGAATGAGTGTTGAAGTCGAAGCCGATTGGCGTTTTGCCAAGCCGGATAACGTCATCGCGGTTTTCTTCTCCTTCCCTCCTCTACACGCAACCTTGGAAACATCCCGCTTCGCTTTTGCAAACATTGGCCCGGTCCCAAAGCTACCAGGCTCAAACATGTACTACGCGATGCCATTCCTCCTCGAGGTCTCAATGCGCCTCGTCACGTGAGCAACCTTGGAAGCCACCGTTTAATATGTGATTTGTGATCAGTAAACCCAATACCGAGCCTCGGGTCGCCTCACAATCAGCCAATCAGAACCGCGCACTCCTTTACAGCTCAGCTCTTCTTCACTTCATGGCAGTTTCGTAGAGGATGCGGGTAACTCAATATGGCAGTCTTGATAGTGCGCCGCGCTTGCTTTCGGCCGTAACTCTGAACGCGTGCGGGGAGCAGGACAAGCGCCGGGTATATACAGCACACATCCTCTCATTGTGAAGTATAGCGGAGGATATCCCGGGTGCCCTCCACAGCACCCTGACTGAACTCACCATATTCCTAGCATGAACCACGATTGCCAGAATGGACATGGGATATCGATCCATGAGACCGAGACTGTCATTGCTGGAAACAACGGAGAGAAGCCCGACCACGAACATCGATCTCCATGCCAACCCGCCAAATTCGAGGATGAACGACGCTGTAGTGAGCGGCCGGCTAGCGAAGATGGATCGTTCACCAGCCCCGTCGACCCGATGGACTGGGATGGTCCGGACGACCCTGAGAACCCGCACAACTGGTCTACATGGAAGTTGGCTTATCATACGATGATACCTGCCCTCTTTGGATTCACTGTGTAAGTTGCAAGACAGCGCGTAACACAGGAGATACTGACGGCTCAGCACCTTTGGAACATCAGTGTATACACCCGCGCTCGCAGACGTCATGCGTGACTTCGACGTATCGCGCACGGCTGCGCTCATCGGCATAACGCTTTACACGCTCGGCCTCGCGTTTGGTCCAATCGTCACTGCACCACTTAGCGAAAGGAAAGGCCGAAAAGCTGTCTATCTGTTGTTCTTCCCTATATTCATGCTGTTTACTCTCGGCGCAGGCTTCTCGAAATCATACGCGGGCCTGGTCGTGTGTCGATTCTTCGCAGGATTGTTTGGAAGTCCAGCACTTGCTGTTGGTGCTGGAACGAATGCCGATTTGTTCCCACCGCATAAGCGCGCCTTGGCTACGAGTTTCTACTTGATGGCTCCTTTCGCTGGGCCGTCCATTGGGTATGTATCGTCCAGAGTCTATTGCTCTTAGATGTTGACGTGATGACAGACCCGTGGTTGGAGGATTCGTGGCGCAGTACAAGACTTGGCCGTGGACACAATGGTCCATTCTTTTCCTTGCGGTGGCTGTATATGCCACATCCATACCAATGGATGAGACTTACAAGCCTATCAT